GTTATTGACTAGTTTCTCGGCAGGAATGGTCTTAGAGGCCTCCGATGGGCCCGATAAGCTAGTTTTGACATAATTAAGTGGCAGGAATCTCTTGGTTGTACCCGGTTGGCGTTTTAAGCTCGTTCTGACCCTATTCAAGGTCGGAACTCATTCCGGTAAGGTCCTGGCTCATCGTAGGAGCAGGACGGCCGAGAACCAAGGTGGTTGGAAACGTGAAGCGAAGCTTGGTCGAGGACAAAAGAACCTTGCCTAAGGTCCGACGAAGCCACAAAGGGCGCAAAAAGTGAATTGGGGCTAGAGATCCCCGTAAGGCTGGCCATGGTCGAGCTTAGATCATGGTGCCGCGTGGTTGAAAAATGTACGATCGTGACACTAGGCGCGTTTGATAAGCCGAATGACATGACAAACCATTCAAATAAGCGTTCATTTGTTTTGAACGCCGTTTTCCACTCGTCTCCTGGGCGGATTCGTATCTGGTGGTATCCACTTCGAAAGTCAATTTTGGAGAAAATAGCTGCACCGCTGAGTTGATCTAGAAGTTCTCCAATCCGTGGTATAGGAAATCGATATTTCACTGTAATTTTATTGATAGCTCTGCTATCAACACACATCCTCTATGACTCGTCTTTCTTAGAAATGAGGAGGGCAGGAACTGCACAAGGGCTCAAACTTGGCTGAATATGCCCTTTTTGCAGTAACTCAGTGATGTGATCATGTAGGATCTTGTATTCCGTAGGGTTCATCTTGTAGTGTGGCAAGTTGGGCAATGTAGCTCCGGGTAGTAGATCAATACGATGTTGTATATCCCTCAAAGGTGGGAGAGAGTCCTGCGGATTAAAGAGTTCAGGAAATTTATCCAAAAGTGTTTGGACATTCGGATGAACTTCTGGTTGTAATCCCTCTCCAGATGTAAAATCCTTGATTACCAAGGCTAGCAGGTGCTTGGATCGGTGCAAAAAGAGGTGTTTGCCACTGCACACATGAAACAAATGACCTTTAGCCGTAGTTGCATCTTGTCGATTCTGTAAAAGTAATAGAACAACGGTTTTCCCCATCTATGAAAATTCATAGGTGTTTTCGCGGCCTTTGTGTAGAGCCTGAGTGTCATATTGCCATGGTCTTCCCAAGAGGATGTGGCATACATCCATATCAATAACGTCACAAGTTATTTGATCCTTGTGACTAGTTTATTGGAAACCACGTTTTCTGTGTTGCCACTGTCGATGATGATGTTGCATATCTTCCCATTGACCGTGCATCTGGTTCGGAACAGGGAATG